GAAAAACCCAACCATTCTGTACTGAAACATGTTAACATCATTAACATTTTCCACCCACAGCTCTGCAAGAGGAAGAGGAGGAGGGAGTGTTTCAACCTGCAAGACCGAGTCACCCAACCTAAGATGCCAGCATACATATTCAAATGCTTCCCAGTCACAGGCACATGCACAATAATCTTCTGCAAAAGAGAGGAAAAGCTGGCTAATTAAGGCATCAGCCACACCCAATGTCAGGATGAGTCAAGTCAACTATGGCTTTAGAAGTTCCAATACAGCTACAGAGAGGAAAAACTTTGCTCTGCCCTCTGTATAGTGGCCAACAAGCTTCTTCTATGCCACTTGCAGAATCAGTTACTCCAAAGTATGAAAAAATTTCAAAAGTCCCTGGACTTTCAAATGGGAACATGCACTCGTTTAAGAAATGTCAATTGAAATCAAGCAGCAACCAAATGAAAACTTCATTACTTATAGAAATTAATTTTTCTTCTTGAAAGTAGGTTATGAAACAGTTATCTGAATAAGTTTACACATAAAGACATTGCATCCCACTGTCCTACTTTACACACGTTGCTGAGTTTTGCAGGAGTAAAGACAATCAGAAAACCAAAGGAAGAGAAGCAAAATTCTGTTGTATTGGCAACTAGAAAATTGAAAGAATACAAGTAGTCAATTCTCTATATATCCTAATAATAGTCCAGAAATCTAGATCCCTTGTGAAGTCCTGATTCTTTCAGCATTGAAGAGATCAGCCAGCCAAGTGAAAATACATTTTTAAGTGTATTACAAATACAGAACCAGTGTTCCTTAAATCTGTATCACTACTTCAGCCAAAAGCACAAAAAAGAAACGCCATCTCTAAGTCTTACAATAATCGTAGGTCTTGTAGAGCATGTTTTAAAATGTGAAATATGTAGTGTTCAGCACTATACTAAAATCAGAAGAGGATAATAGCTGATGCAGTTAATAATATCTACTGGGACATTATTTCCTTAAGCTGCTCAAAGGAAAGACAAAATCCAAACAACTGGAAAAAGCGGTAGTTTATGATAACTTAGTCACCACAGTGTAGCCTTTGTCTTGTACTGAATCAAATAGCTCATATTTTACAGTATCCTAAGTTAGTAGTTGACATCCAATTAATTACTTCCCAAAAAGTTATCCGCAAAAGTGATAACAACATCTGAGTTTCCAAGGGAAAAATAAATCAACATGTGACCTCTAGTCCTATTGTCCTTTTAAGTTCCCACTATATTTGAGAAGCTACCACAAATTCATTTTTCTCTCTTTCAGAGGTCAACCATGTTTTGCATTTCCAAGAGAAAGCACTGCACTGCAGTGTTAGACAGCAGCACTACACTGCTGGCACGGGGGGAGAATTTTTTCTGTACTTCGCGTACTCCTAAGTTCCACCGCTGCCAGAAAACGTGCCAGTAAGAGAAGGGAAAAAAGTAACACAAACACTCTTATCACACAGTATTTGACACTGGTTGTACTTAGTCTCACGTAGCCAACTCGTGGTGAGGGACAGAGAAAAGGTTTAAGCAGATTGTGTTCTATACTGAATTATGAAATATTTTTTTGTACGAAACACCAAGAGTTTCTACTTCATTAAGTCCCTAATTCTAGCGGATCTGTAACGTACTTTCATTTGCATTCAACTTGCGAAGCAACTCAATCTCCCACTTCATTGTATGCACCGATCCATTCAAGTTAGGCCAGCATTTCTAGTTTTTCTGAGACAAGAAAATACTTCAGTTACTATTTGTTTGCCTACGGAAATATCCTGAGGTCAATTTAAATATTTTATTATTTAAAAAGGTCTTACGGATTTAACAAAAAACATTTTTTTTCTAGCTGTTTAGAATATGATTGAAACTGTATCACCACAGGTCAGTTCATTTGCAGATCTGGATCTCCTTTCAAATTGAGATGCCACAGGATATTTAGCAGATGAACTGTTTGATGTTTAGATAGTTAAACTATGGGCAAACATTTAGAGTGGTCTTTAAAAAAAGACTGATTTCATTTTACCATTATAAAGAGAATTTACCTTCCTGCTAAAAATATATACACCATCATCTGGCATAATGGACAAGGAGAACACCATTAAAGGATCCTACTATGAGTTTTAAGAGAAAATCAGTCTCTAACACCTTGGGTTTGGGAAATTTTGGAGCTGTTTGAAAGCCTATTAAGCTGGTATGGTTCAATGCAGATAGGATTTGATTTCTGATGCATCAGAGAGGGGAAAAAAAAAGGAGGGGGCGGAAACTAGATCTACCTAATTATTTTTTATCCCATGGTCTTCTAAAAATAAAATCCCTGGGGTTATCAGGCAAATACTAGTTCCAGGAAAATACTCCAGGGCATACAAAGGATTCTTTTTAATTGTTTTATCTTCAAGGAAATCACATACTTACGACTCACACCTCTGAGACAGCAAAACTGTATTTGGGACATAAAAGTGGATATGAGGATGATATAATTTCCCAGTCCTGAAGAAGCCATGACTTTTCATTTCTCATAGAATCATAGAATGGCTTGGGTTGGAAGGGACCTTAGAGATCACCTGGTTCCAACCCCCTGCCATGGGCAAGGACACCTTTCACTAGACCAGGCTGCCCAAATTGGCCTTGAACACCTCCTGGGATGGGACATAAAACAAATTCTCTGGCCACTTTGAAAGCTTTAGAATTGTTCTGCTGGCTATCTGCAATTTCACAGGACCTTTCCTGGCAATAAAGGTGAGACTGAGCACAGGTTCTGTGCTGTTTCTATTGCTGTTAGAAATACAGATCCAGTATGCCAAAAATGAGGGCGCTTGGGACTCTCACAGTTGAAATCTTGATATTGCCAAAGAAACACACAAAACACCTGTCCAGATTAGGCCAGGATGCAGCCCTTTCATGAATTTGCTTATGAGATGAGATTGATCAACCTCTACCTTAACTTGCAAATAACTTCTTGCAGCACCAAAACCAGTATCAACCCTCTCTGGGTTCCAGTAAGCCCTGGACCATGGAGAATTACACTGCAGGACACAGTTAGAACATTTTTTTTTTGTTTATGCAGACTTTAGCAATTCTTGCATTTCTGACTGCACAGCAATGGGTTTTTGAAGTTATTTTGACAGGAGTTGTGGCTCTAAAAAGAGATTCCTGACACAACAGAGGGTAGTACGAAAGAAAAGGACAGACAGGTAGGCAACAGAGCTTTAAACCAGCAATGCAACTGAAGACACATTTGTGAAACTATGGTTTTTGAATAGCAGCATTTGATGCTGTCCAGAGATTGCAGCTTAAGACCAAAATTAACTCGTATTGTGACTTCTGATCTAAGTGCTCTGCCACTTTGCATGTATTTGGCTTACCATGTGGATGGATATTGGTGATTTGGGATGGCAGCTGCTACACAAGGACAGCCCCTTGCAGTTTTAATTTAAGAAATTTGTTGGAACTTAGTAAACAGATCCCAGAAACCTGAAGGTCAACTTTATGGGCCAAAGACATGGCTTACAACTTGAATCACGTGTCATTACAAAAAGATAATTTTCTGTGTGAGGAAAGGGAATTGTTCCATACAAATTGCAGGAACGTGCTGTTAAATAACTTCTTAATGGAGGATTAAATATCTACAATTCACAAAAGGATGAGAATGTTAAAAACAAACAAACAAACAAAACCCCAAACCCCCTACCCTAGAACAAACCTCTCTATTTAAACAGAAAACAGAAACAAAAACTTCATCTCAAGAGAGAAGTAACTCATCATTACCTGACTGCTCAGCTTAGTTTGTGGTTTCCCAGCTCATGTTAACTGTTTTCTGATGTTAACTGCAGCAAATACAGGTAATTTTGCAAAACTGTAAATGTAAACCAAATTCTATTGTAGCCCTTCATATACACTACACAGCACTTGAATGTATCTTGCAGTTGAACAGTGCTTCTATGAATTCTGTCAACAGAAGAATATTTTAAAGACATGATTAAAATCTTGCAAAAGCCACGCAAAATATTTGGGCTAGGCCAAAGGATGTAGCCTCTTTGTTAATTTGGCCAGTACAAGATGTTGTAGGTCAAGTTCTGCCCTAACTTATAATTAACTTCAGAGATTTGGAAAGATGAAGTGCAAACAGAACAGATTCTCACCTCCTGCCTGCCTGACACACACAGCCAGATGAATTCTGGCAGTGCTCACTGTTCACAAACTTGCAGAGGACACTCACTGCCAGAACACAGAGAAACCTCCTAACAGCCATTTCCGTCACCAGCAAAATTGGAGTTTACAGTGAAACAGGGTTTACAATGGGCAGCTACACATCTGTAGATGGAAAAGCATCCACAACAAACTGTGCAGTTTCTTAATCAACAGCTTAATCACAGCAGTTACACACTCACGCTTATAAGTACAGGAATTAATGAACAGTGTTCTACTTTACTTGCAGTAATTAGGTTTTAATCTACTACTGATTTTTTCTTTACCATAAGCAATGTCACCACAATGTGAAATTGCTATTCATCACAGACATGTTCCTACACGAACACAAGCATCAGTCACAGGGCCATGGCCTGGGTTATGCAAAACAGTTCTGTAAACAGACAGTGCAGGAGGAGGCAAACAAGGCTTGTTTGGCAGGAGTAAGACTTGAAAAAAGGGTACATGCAATGGTGATGAATCCAGTCTATTTTAAGTGTGGGAGAACTTCACCTGAATTTTCTCCTCCATCATATTTTAACTTAAGTCTGCACTACACAGCACTTAACCAATACATGTCTAGCAGCTGAACAGTGCTTCTGTAAATGCAGTATACAGAAGCAATAATTTAAAAAAGTAGCATCTGAAAAGTCTCAAAGTCTGGGAGATGACCATCTTATACAATTTCCAAACGCTGGCTGGAGAGCCAAGAGGACAACAAGGGAATACGATAAGAAGCCTTGGCTGACAACTTCTACTAATTTGCTACACAGTCAGACCTAACTATAAGAAATAAAACTGAGATACCTGAGAAATCCTCCTAGCCAGTCTCCTGCCTGGTTACCTCTCACAATCTGAAGAAACAAAATGAACGGCTGTTTATGAGCAGTTATGTTCCTCAGTTCATGAAAACAGTGAATCAAGAATCAGAAAACTGTCATTGCTCACCCCAGAGTTACTCTTTCAGTTCTCTTTGTCTTCAGAAATTATCTTCATTGGCTTCCTAATGTCTCGCAGTTTATCTGCATGTAATACAAGGTGTGAAGATATTTTAAACACCAGACGTATTTACAGTAAAACCACCCTCCCATAAACAAAACCATAAACACTAGATTTGTAGTCAGTGGTAAAGAAATAAGTTTAATGCAGAATGTGGTCACAGTCTATTTAATAAAGAAACAGGTCCTGTTCACCTGGAGGGAGATAGGCAAACATATACAGTCAACTGAACAGGTGAAAAAGAATAAAATGTGAGAAAGTATCAAATACAGAAAAGACCCTTGTCTTCTGCTCCACTCAACAGCTGTGGGCAGGCCTTTTACATTTCAATCAAGTGGTTTCTGAGTTAGGCATAAATTGACCCAGAGACTCTGGCTGTGAAATGACACTACTGGGAGCTTGATACTGATGTCACGTTTATGGGCTCAAGCTTTTCCACTGATGGAAAAGCACAAGACATTCTTGCTTCCAGGGGTACACACTAGTAATCCATCAATTCCTCAGGATGCCTCTTGAGGAATCTTTTCCAAGGCAAATCTTCCACTACATTCTGGAATAAAATATAGCTGATTTTCCAGAAGAGGAATTGCTCCAACCTTTAAGACAAATTAGACTTAAATTTAATATAAGACCTAGCAAGAAACCATAATTTATCTAGTTCACCACTTCTAGTTTAAAGGACTTCTGGCTCCAAACTCTGCTCATGAAGATGCCTGTTTTGAGTGCACAGAAACATGTAGAACATGAGACTATTTCAATAATCCCAGGGAGGCTTCAGCAGTTGTATTCTACTGAACAGCAGTATGAACCTACCAGCAGGAATCCAGGGCTTTTTCCTCAGTCCTGTTCTCATACCTTCACTCCCAGAACACCTGCTGAATGCTTCTGTTCCCAAAGCCTAGGACTTGTGGCATCTTCCCCTAATAGTGGAATTGTAGAGTGCTCAGGAACTGACCAAACCTTCTGCAGATGAAGACAGGGAAAGGAGCTTTCAGGGCTGTTCTGAGGATGCTCTGGAGGAATAAGGGTATGAGTTAAACAGAGATTTCCACCCCGATGAATTTCCTCCAAAAGGGTTAAAAGTGCTTATTTTATTTGAAGTAAATGCCTACTACCCTCAGGGTAAATGCTCAGGCAAATCTTCAGGCTGTCAGAACACAAAAATCGCTCGCTACTAAAAATAAATCCAAGATTAGCCCACAGCTCGAAGTGACAACTTTTTATTTTAGGCAAAAAAAAATAAATGCCAAAAACATTCCGCTATTGCAGTTTGTAAAATTTTCACTGTTTTCAGTAGAAACAGTTCACAAGTCAGAACGCAATATTCAAATAACATTGTGCAAAATTGTACTGGCATAACTACACATAGCAAAAAGACTAGTGTAAATCAAGAATTCCATTGAAATTAGTTGAGCTGCTCCAGTTTTACAACAGTGTACATCACCTCAGAATAGGCCCTTTTTTGCAGAACATCCCTGGAATTCCTCTTGCTTACAAAAATTGCTTTACATGCAACAAGTAACAACATATGCAAGAACACCTCCACAAGTTATCACAGTGTAACAGAGGAAAACATATCAGCCAATTTCATACAAAGGCAAATCTAATGGCAGTTTTGAACATCCCTTGACTGCTACCCTCAAAAATTGCACATTTCAGTAAATGAAATAATTTAGAATGAAGCCAAGCTATGTTCTTACCTATCAGTACATTGACAATTAGGACGGACCATGTTTTCAGAAGGGGTTTGCTTTCTTTTTTTTAACTTATTAGATTTTCCAAAGAGATTTGTTTCACAAGAAGCTTGTGCAAGAAATGTTAACTTGCAGTGCTATCAGGCCAAGTCCTCTTCTGCTATTCAGATAGACCTGTCAACACTACAGAAGTCTCTGTAGTCAAATACAAATCCCAGTGAAGAACTATGAAACAAAGACCACACCTTCAGTATTTGGTGATGACATGCAACAAAATAAAGCAAGCAGTAACAGGACTCCATTAACACTCGGAGCATTCAGAAAGAGACTGTTGCGGTTCAGTTGGAGTACAGGACTGGAATTTCACAAAACAGTTGTGAACAGTTAACATCCTCTCCCCACTTGACTTGACGCACAAAGTAACAGTTTCAAAACAATGCACCCTAGGTCATTCTTTGTATAAACAAAACTCTAAGAGCAGAACTGAGTTTCAGAGTTCTGAATGCTCACAATGCCACATCAAGAAAATACACAGGTACATCTTGCAATGAGTGGTCATTTTGTTTTCCTGTATACCCATATTTAGAAAAATAATTCCATAAGAACCCTTTGATTACAATAAAACCAGTTGTTCCTCAGTGTGTTTCACCCCCCTAGGTTAGGAAAGACACACCTTCTATTGCCTTTTCTAAGAGCCAACATTTTTGTTTTAATACATACCAAGCTGGTTCGAGTCTAAACCACAATGACATCTTTCAACTATGACATTTTATGAAGGGCATACACTTAAACTATGGAATTATATGAAGAAGCACAGTCCTGATATTCTCAAGTGTGTGGGTGCTTTTATGTCTTCTTTGCAGGCTATATTAACCTCACGAGAGCAAGAAAGAAAAATGCACAACCTTTGCTTTGGAGATACGTGTAAGGGTGCATCAGTTCTGCAAGAGAACAGGTCTGCAAGTCTGTACATAGGAAAAAAATAATAAAAGGTTCTCACAAATACCAGCCCTGCCTCAAACCATACAGACAAAAGCAGCAGACCTATGCAGACTGTATGTGTGTGTTCACACAGTGAGTCAAATGGAAATCCAGACACCCCAGAAGCCACCCTGCAGAAATGATCTCTGTAACTGAAAGTTTCTGGTGACTTCCTATGCATCCTCCTTTGCCCCCTTGCTTCATGGAGAAGCTGTCAGGTACTCAGCAAGAAAACATTCAGCAAGGAAATATGGACATCTCTGGCACCCAGTTACTGGGAAGACATCAGTCAGCATTTCAGAGATGGCAAGGAGAGAACAGATAGAACTCCAGCAAGGAATTATTGCTGTAACACTGAATTCTATCAAACTCAATAAGCAACAAGAAGTTAGGCCCAAGGCAGAAGAAAGGTTAATGGATATGACTTTGTTTTCTTCTTCCCAAAAGGCTCAGCTTCAGTGTTTTCCAAAAGTCTCAGACTCTGAATTCCAGGAAATTGTATTTTAGAACAAATCAAAAAATAGCCCTGAGACTAAACACACTTTTAAAGAGCTGCTATTGCTTCATTTAAGTCAAACACAGCAAGCATTTACTTCCACAGTATGCAATATTTAATTTTCACTCCCTTTTTTCCTCACTTGGGATATGTACCTGAAACCAAGAATTTCTTTCCAAGATGTATGTACTCAAGCATTATCTGTTACTTTTCCAAGAACTGAAATGCTACAGGATTATGGCACCAAGCAAGTAAAGAATAGCTGATGCAGGTCAAACTTCAACAAAGAAGTCCTCTTCCCTCGTGCCTTGAGTTTTTGAAAAAAGGATTCCAGTAATCATAGCTGTCACCATGGACTTCATTAAAATGAACACCTTCCTTGTGACTTAAGTAAAATTTATAACTGGAGTATCATCATTTAGTACATCTCAAAATCAACTGTCACTGTTACTGAACACTGCTACCAGCCTTTAAGTGTGACTAGAAGTGTAAAATACCAAGAAAACAAGAATATCAAGTGTGTCAAGTTGTGCATAAAAATAGACCTTGATTTTTTCTTAAGCTAAAAACTAGGCAATCAAGGAACTGACTAGGTCTATGCATAGTTAGGATTTTAAGTATGCCAAAAGAATTTAGACTCTTTCAGTAAAACTCTGCTTGAGCAATGCAAGGTCAGCTCCTCCAAAAAATGGATATCCCACTCTATACATAAAAGAATTTTTAAAAAGCTCCATGCACTGTCAAAGCTATTTGAAATAGATTTAAATACTTTATCTAACAGCTATGCTATGGCACAAGACAGCACATAAAAAGTTTAAGGCTAATTTTTTGTCTGCACACATGTCAAAGATGGTCTCAGAACAAAGCTGTCATATTTTCTTAATTCTGAGTCTTTAGTGTGGATTCATAATAAAGTCCAGCTGCCAAGCAATAGTAGAGTTGTCCTGCATATAAAAAAGACTGAATGTTGTCCTGAATGCAGTTGCTTTTTTTGTGTTTTTTTTTTTTTTCTTTACAAAAAGCAAAAACTTGACACATTTGCATTTGGTTTTTATCAGAGCAGCTCACTAATTTATACAGTACATTGTCCAATAACATACAAGGTAAACTACCAAAGAGATACTTGAAGTACTACAACAACAGGTGCAAAAGGAAGTCCTACGGTACGAAAGCCCACCGCTATTGGGAGAGTCACTCTGTGATGAAAACAAACATCAGAATGCAGTTTTGGTGAAGTCAGTTAAGTGTCAAGGCTGTAATAAAGGCTATTTGTTAACTTTAGCCCTTTGGTTCTTAACCATTCAGTTAAGATCTCCTAATAAAGCACGAGGCAGTTTGGCAATGATGGAAAAGTTCTTTACACGCTACTGTTACAGAAATAGAAAACAGACTCAGAAGCACTTCCTTCACCTGAATATGATCTGAATTCAGTCACACCAGGTTTAAAAAAAAACCTACCTAAAGCAGTAAATTTTAGACTTCAAATTGCACTGTAGTGTTTCAGAAGAAACTAATTAATATCAACAAAGCCTAGAAAAGAATTATCAACTGGCAAAATTACATAAATTTGATGCACAAAGCCACTTATTTTAAAACTGTTCCCGAACAACTTCAGTTAACTGACAATGTCAGTGCAAAGCAGAACTGTTACTTCAAAACAATCCTGTTTTCAAGGGGAAGATAGAAAGTAAGCCAAATTCTGTTTGTTTGCTAATTTAACAGGTGTAACATTTTAATGCTTTCTGGTACATTTTTCATTTACTGTTTTTTTGCATAATGTTGTAAGAATGGGTTCATTATGCTATAAACACAGGACTTTCAGATTCTAGTACGATTTACACTTGCTGAGTAAAGTACACTGCTATAATAGTTACTTATAGAGGATTTAACATAACAGCAAACGTTCATAGAGATGATGATTATTATCTGCACACATATGCAGGGTTTTTTGCTCCCAAGTAAAGTGTTTGCAAGCAAATTTATCATATTAAGCACTGAACAAAACTGTTATATTTGCAGTATCATTTTTAAATAGTTGCCATTATGAGGAGACCTGAGTATGCAAGGGATTTGTGAAAGGTATGCGTATGGAAGCCAGTGAGAACTGCTCATGTGTAACAGACCAATATTGAGAGAAAGAGACTGCCCAGGATGACGCTTTGAAATTACCAAATTTAACTCTGTAAAAGAGGTGCAAGGTCGACTTTGTAAGTTGATATGACACTGGTATTCAGGTCGTTGCAGGTTTTTGCATATCTATATTGTATTCACTCAAACCCAAGTAATGAACTCCAGGAACACATGAGGAACCTCACTGAAGTTCCTGAACAGTTTCTGTTTGCAACTGCCTTTCCCCCCATTTTCCTCTTTTATTGTAATTTCAAAGGAACTGTTAACTGCTGCATTATCTGGACAGATCAAGTATCAAAAAAACCCCCCTCTGTTTTACATGCCAACCTAAGTTGCTAGTCAAAAAGGGAGAATGTATCTGTTGCTGTAAACTTCTGCATAACAGATATCATGCCTGACAAACCATCACCTTCAACGGACACACTAACACCACTATGACAACAGGGAGGAAACCATGCACAGGTATTTCGGCACTATGTGGCCAGGGTCTATAATACAGTGATGAGTCACGTCAGAGCAAATTTGTACCAAGAGTGATTAATGATTCAGGCTGACTAACTTCGTAAGTAGTCAAGCAAGCCTGTAAGAGCCAAGTATTTTCTGGAAGAAAGAATACCAAGTAAGAGGACAATATCTTTTTTCCCTACCTCTGCACAAAAATTCTATGAACAAATAGAACAATACCGGGGCAAGTGCTTTAAAATGCAATTTTCCAGTCAATAAGCCAACAGTAGTAGGAATTCTGTGAAGGAAGGTGTTTTAAAAATGTGACTTACCAGAAGCACAAATTTTCAATATCAAAAAAATGTACACTATATACTAACACCTTTTTTTTGCATACTCTTCTGTTTTAAAAGTTTCAAACGTATTAACTTGTCTTGTTTTGTTTAGAGCTGAGGCTGTTCAGCAAGGTCACATAATTTGAGACTGCAGAAGTAATTCAGCAATCCTTTGGTCCCATCAGCTGTAAACCAGCCAAGTATAAAAGAACCTTCCCTACAAAAGAAAAACAAAAAAAGAGGGGGAGGGGATCATCCTCAGGAAACACCATCTGCTACGAACCAGAAAAGGCAAATTTTTGTTACAAAATACACATTTTCATACAAAAGACATCTTGCAAAACCATCTGATTGCCCCTCCCTCTGCAGATTACAATGGTAAATGGGATCAGCTGGTTGGTCTTGGGATTTCTGTTTTAATGAGAAAAAAAGTCAAAGGACACACAGTATCACAACAACTGGTCCTTTGAATGGCAAAGGATTATGAGTGTCTTTGTTTTCACCAGTGTTTAAAAAAGCAGGAGAGAAACAGAACCATAGTCTTTATAAGCAGAAAGTGCAACAGCGCATCAGCTGCTGCATCCTCCTGAACTTCTCAATGTGCTACCAAACTGTCAATTATACAAACAGTTTGATTATGGCAGTGCCATAAATTGTTAAAACAATGCAAATAGTGTGATTAGAAAGGTCCAGTCAACTGGTTCCATTTTTTTTCCCAGTAGTTGCCCAGAAAAGTGTCAAGACAATCTAAACCTATTCTTCAGCTTCCTCAATACATCCGGACGGCTGGAGCAGAGAGGACTGTGGTATTACTGTGCTGGTTCCACGAGAGATCCTGTCTTGATCTGTGTTTGTAGTCAAGGTGGCCATGGAAATGGGCTGTAACAAACCAGGCGTCATGCTGGAGGAGACAGTCAGGCTGTGTGTAGTGCCCTTAAGTGTGAGATCCTGTGTGGGAAGAAGTGGCTTGAGGATGCTGACAAGACAGAAAGCAGAGCCACTTTTCGGAATGAAATTCACTTTGTTCTTGTCAGGGCAATAGAAGGCTGGAATTTCATGCAATGGCTTTGGCCTAGAAATAAAATACACACAATAGTTTTATGAACAATCAAATTCTGCCAGTGGCAGGGATGTATTGCTGAACACGTCATCAGAAACAAATTGAGGTTTCAACTGGGAGTATTTCAGCTATTTAATAATGCCTTAATGACACACCACACAGCAAGTGACAAGATAGTTTAAACTGCTTGTTTACATGTATTATGAGGTAAACAGCAGGTTCTTAGGGCAGGTTGTCTCCAAACCTAAGGAAGACACCAACTTCATGTTGCAGATCACAAACCTTGTTCATGCTGCAGATCACAAACCCTGTTCATGTATTGGCACATCCAACACCTGAGAAAGTATTCTCTATCACGTTCTCCAGAAACTTTCACAACCCAACCAGTTCTGCCCCCCATACAGACACTGTTTATACAACAAGCCTTGTGAAAGAAAGCTGGCATAGCAATGTTTCTAATATTGCATATCTCAAAGCAGTTCATGACCGTAGGGAGATCCCCTTCTCTAGACTTTTGACTCCTCTGCATGTTCACGTGAGTGTGGCCTGATTCTCTGTAAAAGATAACCCCATCTTACTTAAAAACTCAATGCAGAGAGTAAAATACAGTATTCCCAAAGTGGCACTCATGATCAAGTACCTATAATCTGGAAAGGAAGTGTGGAACAAGCATTTAGATCCTGACTTGCAGTTTTGCCATCTCAGCATAGAACTCAACCAAATCAAAGACATGCTTTATGAAAAACAGAGCTGGAAGGGAAATTGTGGATAGCACAGGAATGCCTACTGGGTTCATTTCTAACCCTGCAATGTAAATCTACCTCAGCTAGCCAAATTCTATTTTAAGATAGAACTATGGGAATCTGCTTTAAAGCCTCTCTTTACTGCTGGAAAATAGCCATCAGAAATTTATACTAATATTTTCTTGTTGCCAGTATTGTCCTTTAGCCTATAACCTACCCCTCCCTTCTACGTGTTTGTAAGACAGCACTATGCACTTCTGTCTTTGTTATACTAGGTCAAACCAACCTCCAGTATACTCTTGTAAGAGACAATTACATTTCAGAGTAGAGTCTGTTCATGAAATAGGGTACATTTCCATGTTAGCCAATTCTCCCAAGTGTCCAGAAAATTCAACCCCACTTATATTTTTTTCCCAAATGAAAATCCTCTATAGGATTTTCAAGCAGAAATTATGTTAAACAAAGGTTGAGCTTTAAATAGCTACACTCACGTATTCCAGGTACACATGGAATACAATAACAGATGTGAAAAGATTTTTTCATCAGACTGCAGTGTCTAACAACTGCGACAGCCAGGCAAAAGCTGCTGTAGAAGCTGTATAAACCCGTTTCCCTCTACAGCAGAACAGTCCTACAGCTACACAGCAAGGACTTTTGGAAAGAAATGCTAATGCAAGTTAAACCACAATAGATTATGTTCCTGAAACAAGTGAATGCTATCTAATCTGTTGGCAACAAAGCTTACACACTCTAAAATAGAGACAGGTAACTTAAGTTACCGTAACCCTTCCCACATTGCTATGGGAGAGGCCATAGAAACCTCTCAAAATCCATTTGCAGAGATCAGGCAAGTTCAAGGGTTTTTTTACATTAACACATATTAGATGGCATTCTTGAGACAACATAGGCATAAGAGAATTATAGAGAATCTATACTTGTGCGACAAAATGAAATTTTTAACTATAGCTTAAAATTCTTGCATGCAAGTGACATGAGAGTACAAAAACTCCTCTGAAAATTATAAAACATAACCCCCAGAATACTACCAAATGATAAAAGTTGGCTTTTCTCAGAATAACCTAAGCATCAAATATTCAAGGTAAAATTCACTCCTGTTACCAAAAGTTTCACAACTACACTGATTTAGATGAAAAGAATATGGTCTTCAGAGTCTAGATTACTGGATGTGCCTGTCAAGCTGTGACATATATTGGTTGATGCACCTGCATTACAGCTTATTAGTACATCTCTCTCTAGTTGATTATTGGAGTTCCTCTCCCCCTATCTCCCACGTAAGAGAGAGTCCTCTCGAGTTACGGTTTTTAAAAAGAGTTTCTCGAGATTTTAACACAAAATTCCAGCAGTAAAATACATACCTATATATGCCAGTATATAGTCACACAGAACAGAGATCAGCCTGTTATCGTGGTTTTAGCAACTGGATTAATAACTTTGATCTGACACAAAATCAATAAAGCAATAATTAACTCTGATTGTTAGATGTTATTTCTTATGTAGCAAAGATCAACTTACAAGTTTTCCTCAAAGACTTTCACCTTTTCACAGCCCTCGGGAGGTTCACGCTTGAACATGTAGCTGTTGTTGGGTTTTGGTGAGGTAGCGTATTTTGGCAAAGGAGAATTATTCCCATTCTCTGCAGGAACAGAGTTTCTGATTACTTAAATGTGTCACACTATAAAAAACCCACAAGAGCTGTCTTTAAATGCTCCCCAAATTTAAAGCCACTTCATTACCAATGTTACAAAATTAAGAAACATTTTCATTTGCCTTCAAGTCTTCATTTGAAAATAAGATTTCTTATCTCAATCCCTTTCCTCCCTTCTATTTCTCCATATAACATTTTCAGGCTCCTCTGCAATCTCTGATCATTCCTGGATATTTTCAGTTTGTAACTGCAAACCCGAATCTATGGTTCTGTGCCATTACCATCTACCCCAAGAGAAATGGGCAGAAGTCATATTCCTTAAAAAACAGAAGAGGTTTATGTTGAATTATAAAATTTTCCTACAATATCTCAGAAGATTTCAGATATAAAGAATAATTTACAAAGTCTAAACAGTTAAACTTTTATACGTGCATGTATGAAATGCTGGAAGGTTGCCCGCTTTGTCTAAGATTATAAAAAGAAATACCTGACAAGCAAATACCTGACAGGTGCTGTTCCACCTGTTACTGTACACTCTTGCTTCTTTAACTTGCTTAAAATACTTGAAGAACCTATTATTTAAAAAACAAAGACTTGTTTGGGAAGCAGATTCCCCAGTCACATCTATGCAGCTCCAATTAACATGTGTGCACACAGTATTTGGAGCAATTTGGAAAAAACACATCACTTACAAAGAAAAACACATTCTATCATTTCTCTCCATGGACATAGGGAACAAATCCCCTCTTTTACAGTTTAACAAATTGCAGTTCAGCATTGCTGAACTTTTAAAGTTACACAGTACCTTTATCTCTGGAGTCACCAAGAAGATCCTCTGTAGAACACGGACTTTCTTCACTGCTTTCATTACAGATGGTAAGGAAGGAGGTTGGAGATACTGACTGGGAGCGGCTGCTGTTGTTACTGCCCTTGTCTGCTCCCCCGGGCGTTTGGGTATCAATGCTCCGAGTGCTGCTGCTGCGCTGAACCACCGGGGGTGGTGCACGGTGCCCATCTGGAATATCTTGAGGCTGTTAAAAGTGAAAGGTATCAGATGGCTGCTCTTATCTGGTTAGCAATTCTTTAAATCCAGCAACAGTGAGGGTTTTTTTCCGGTTTCGTAAAACCATTTGTGGAAAAAAAAATTCATTACACACAACTCCAACAGAAAAAAAGTCAGGTTCAGAAACTAAGGACAACGGTTTAACATTTCACATCATCACAGAACTGCTGAGGCTGGAAGGGACCTCTTGAGATTATCTAGTTCAACATCTCTGCTCAAGCAGAGTTAGCCAGAACAGTTTGTCCAGGACTCCGTCCTGTCAAGTTTTGAGTATCTCCACAGACAGCAATTCCACAAGTTCTCTGGGCAACCTACTCCAGTTTTGCACACCCACACACATTAAAAAAAAAATCAAAAATCTAATGTTTTTTAATTTATGCCCTCTGCCCCTTGCCCTGTCACTGGGCTCTACTGAGAAGAAACCAGCTCCCTCTCTTCATTCCTGCACATCAGATATTTATACATGTTGATAAGAACCCCCTGAGCTTTCCCATTTCAAGGCTGAACTTCCAGCTCTCTCAGCCTCTCCTCATACAAAAAATGTTTCAGTCCATCATCTTCATGGTCTGTATTTCTGATACTTTATTACTAAACTTACCTCTAAAAATCATTAAAATAAAATTTACATTAAAAATGGGCAAGTTATGTTTCAACTGAGATGGGAACAGTTCAGCATGGGCAAAAGAGAGTTACTACAAAAACTCTTAAAACAGACTTTTTGTCTTTCCCCCTGTTTTACTGAGATCACTTATTAAGAGGAAAAGGTTCAGAATTCAAGCTTTAACACTTTGCTTCCTTTTGCTTTCCAAGAGACTTTTCAACTAACCTTCTAAAAAAAAGAATATATATAAACAAAATTAATTCCAGACAAATTTAATTCGAGAACTGTGCAAAATAAAGCTTATGACTTATAAACCTCAAAGCAAAACCAAAATAATTATACAGAGTAATGGTGGTGGCAGATACATACAACGAGCTGTTCCTCCTTGTCTCCCGTCTCCTTAATTATTATCTCAATCTCCTGATTCAGTCCTTCTACACTGTTTCGGAATCGTGATCCTGTTGATTTGGTAATAGGTATCACAGGAACGAGAGCACTCTTTGGAATGGGAGCCTGAAGAACCAGAGACAACGAGAATGTTTTGCAAATAAATCTACATTTATTTCTACTCAAAAGTGACCCTTGGAACAGAACACATCTACACCTTGGTATCAGATGTACTTGAAACTACAGCAACTGTGTTAAAATGGATGCCTTAAATGAAGACAGACATCTTGAATTTTGTTTAAAATCTGATTTATAGCAGGAAAAGCTATATAATCTAGTCTCAAAATTCCCCTCAGTATGGTCTGTCTCCAGCTTGACATTACTGTTAAATTTTCACTTGCAAAGCAAACATTTAAATGTAAGTAATTTTGAAGCCTTTACAATACTTTTACATTTCTCCTGAAGTGAGCTATACCATGAAGTCATATCGTTCACTATTAGATTTACCATTTGTACCTTCATCAAAATTATATTTTAATGGAAGTCTGCGGCCACATACACTGATAGGACACATGAAAATTATTGCACAAATGCAAGATTCCACTATGCTAGAAATTAAGTCTAACATATTAACTATATTAAGCCAGAATAAAAGGTTGACAAAACAACTTCAGAAGACTTCCACAGAGAGAATAAAATCCCAAACCCAAGTGTTGATACATAGTTACTTCAGAATGAAGATCACCACTTTAAAAATCCAGTGTTTCAAAGCATGCATGAAAACTCCATTCTCAGCAAACATGATACTGAAGTTTCCCAAAACCCCCTTTGGTACACCACAACCTCTCAATATTTTCCAGTCTCTCCATTAGCATCCTCCCTCCTGTTAAAAAAATCATACTACCAGAATATTCTGCCCTCCTTAAGAAGGGCTGTACTACAGATAATGGAATGCTTCCTGCAAACATTTAGTTCAACTCAAAAGACTTGCACAAGCAAGCACAAAAGTTTCTATTCAGGAAATGCTTGTCACTCTGTTTGTCAACAAAAACTAAACACCCTCATAATAGCTGAACTTGTAAAGACTTTCAAAAGTCTTGCCTGAAGAAGAAACAGAGAAAACCAAAACCATAGGAAAAGAGCACAAAAAAGTCTGAGAAAACAACCCTGCTAATTCCAAGCAAGGCCTAGGATCAACAATCCAGTAAGCTAACACAGGTCAATATTCAGTTATAATACAGATATATCAGCATAAGCTTAGGCACTAAAAACTGTTTATGCACCCAGTTATTCAATATACACATTCTTAAGACAAACTGAATTGTGAAAAAGTAGAAGGCAAGTATGCTTTAAGATTTCAACCACCATTAGCAAAATGTGAGAGTTCTCCATCTTTTAAATATGATTGCCCACCGCAAAAATTCTTTGAGCTCTTCAAATAGTAGCATGATTCTAAGTAGAAAAGCACAAGTTCCTCCATTAGAGTTCAATCAAGTTCAGTACAGCACGTTTCACTTCCAAGAAAAATAATATTCTGTACACGAGCGAGGATGATTTGCTAGCCCAGAGTGCCAGAGGGCGAGAAGGGAAGGAGGTATTGTGACATGGGTGGAACAAGCAGCCTCAGAACAAGAAACTTGTTATTAGAAATACTCCCTTCACAGAGGACTGCATGGAGCTGGGCCCTGACATGCAGGAATTGACTACCAACCTTGGGCTACTCACCTGCACATTTGTGAACGCACACAATGAGGCAAGGTGCAAACACAGGATAATAATTACAGCATTCACATAACAACATACTGTCAGGGAGTTCTGCTGCAGGACAGTTAAAAGTCTTTACAGGTATGGCATAAACTCATGAGATACGAAATAGGGGTGATGACCAATCTAAATTGTTCACAGGCATTTCAGGAAAAATGCTCCAAGATCTTCCAGTTTTTCAACAAGCAACAAAACTTTAAACAGAATGCAAAGATGCCTTTAGATGTTAACATCAAACCTTCTCAAGGCTGAATGGATCATGGTAATTCCACTCTAAAAAAGAAATGCTCTACCTCTGTAAGGTAAGAGTGACACCAAAAAAAAGCAAACCCCAAATACTGCAAACTGCATGCAGTTGGTCTTGATATTAGTGGTTGCTTAGGATCAATCAATTGGTAAGACATTAAGGACACATGCTTCTCAGGAAACTGAAAACAAGAGGGGGGCTTGATGGTTCATAGTGTCAAGTAGCAATGTAACATCAGTCAAGTGCACTGAGGAAAAAAAGATTATTTTGGAAAAACTAACCCATTTAGTCTTTCATCTGCCTTCAGCTCTGGCCTCAATTCTACTTTCTCCACTGCACCAACATTGAGAATAAAGAAAAATCATGGTGGTTTGACTCCTGTTTACAGATTTAGTACCACACAATTAATTCTGAGTATTCTCAGAAGCAACTCGAGATCACCTGAGGAGGCTACAACCTTTGTGCAAGCCCCTCTTCCTGCTAAGAGAGGCAGAATGGAACATTTCAGGCATAATGTAAAAACCACACAAAAAAAACCCCATTCAATTGCTCTACAAATAAATGTAGTCAGCAGATCAGACTTGATCAAGGTCCTCACCAACTATTTCCTGATTCTGAGTAGATGGACAGGAACAGCTAACTAGCTTATTCTATAGAGATTGTGTGGATTTTTTTCTCACACAAAAATCGTATTAGAAAGAAGCACAACTAAACAGAGGCTTCGTTGGCAAGACCCAGTAAAAATTTTTGTTAAATTCAAGAATTCTGGCAAAGTTTAAGTTTCTATTAGTAGGGAAGAAAAGAGGATATAAATTCATTAAAATTTCTTATTTTAATTTTAATAGAAGAGTATGCCATTTTCCAAATGTTAAACAGTGTTTACTTAGTCTCTGTGAAGGAACTACTGAGGCAATTTCCTAACACTTTTTTTCACCTTGTCAGGAATCCAACTCTTTGAGCTCAGAAATCTTTGTATGACTCTTTAGAGTCAACAAACACAAGTTTCCTTCAAGCTAGGAATGTAAAAAAAAAAAAATAAATAAATTCTAAGTATTCTCATCACTAAATGCTAGTTTCCACATAGTCCTTCCCACAAATCCTGAAGGAACTGAACTGCTGCCAGAAATTCTAGTTTAGCGGTTCCCAAAAGAGGAATGAGAAAATCTAAGAACTTTGCCCTTGATGCCTACAGTTACAGATTCTCATTCTGACTTAGAAAACAGCCACTGAATGCCATTAATCTAAACCCTTCACTTACTCTTTTTGAGTCCTTCTGTAACTTGCCCCCCTTGCAAGTAGCTCAACACAGCAGGCACAAAATTTACCAAGAAAAACAATGTTTTGTTTTCTATCACAATCCTGGAAAAGCTGCTCTGCCTCAGTTTATATTTTATAGTTTGTTTCACAAGAGCAAAAACTAATTATCCATTGTGCAATATTTTTTTCACATACTCTAAAATTTGGCAGAATGCAAATGCATCCACACAAGAAGCAAAATAATAAAATAATTATGACCAAAAAAATGTTAGGTACATAATTTGCACGTGGGTTATTTTTCAGAGTAATAGCATCACTGTTCATTTTGAAAATTAAAACCCACTAAGATTATCAATGCTAAAGTGACAATAGCTTAGCATTCAGAAACCCACAGGTTTGCAGAATGCCAAGGAAACCTGACAGACTGCATGAGATTCTCCAGGTACTAAAGAACCTCTACCAAAATTTCCACAGGGTACCTTTTGGTTAAAATGCCTCAAATGTCCTCAAGTTCTACAAATTTGGATAAAACACCTGCATCCAGTATGTTGATCTGACTTTATTTTTCTTTTTTGAACCAACAGTTTGAGACATGTTTTGTATGTTGATTTTCATAAACTTTTTCAAAAACCCCTAGAAAGGGATTGGGTCATTTATTTGTCTTCCTTTATTCATCATTTCAGACTGTTCTGACTTGAGCTACAGCAGTCACTATGATCAGCAGCACACTACACTGCACCCACACTGCAGTAAAGCAGACCAAGATGTAGGGATCTGTACAACACAGCCTGTTTCAAATCCAGTCTGGTCTTCTACTACACAAAAGAGGAGGAAATAGTTTCTGTCTCAAGATTTAAGGGGTTTGAAGAAGTAATTCCTAAATTGTTACGTCAAAAAACGGAATTCTAAAAAAAATCCTAAATACTTCTAAATAGAACAGAATTCAAACTGATTTCAAAAGGCACTTAAATCCTGAAAATTTGTGACTCCTAATTAAGTGACCTGCAGCAGGGCTAAGAAGTTAGGGTCTGAGGCAAAAGATGCTAATGATTTTTTATACAAAGTAGGAGTTAAGAGGAACAGAGCAGAAGAAATTCAAAAAGCTGTTCCATTTTATTTCCAGTCTTGAAAGACAAATAGATTCACTCAGACACCTGACTTTTATCTGGAAAGAACTTGGCTGCTTAGGACTGAATGCATGGTTCTCCCTTCTATTTCTTATTTCATCCTTTATCAGAGTGGATAAGTATCTGGACACATGCTGATGCCACAACAACTTCCCTCTGTGGCCTAAATTAATTCCAGAAGGATGGAACGACAGAGATGACACAGTTTTTATTAACTGGTGTCAAATTACAATATTTATTAGAACAATGCTAAAGGCATATCAGGAGCAATTGGGAATATGATTAGATTTTCAGAGAAGCTTCAGAGATGAAGTACTTTCTCAATTCACAACACTGACAGTTTCATAGTTTCTTTCAACTACATTGCCTTGCAAGGCTATTGTTCTTTTCATAACTGTTAAAAAATTGTGTGTATCAAATATACATTCACAAGATCAGTAGGGAGAGGAAAAAAGTTTTCTCCTGAAAAAATCTCCAAACTTTCCTATTGGTTTTCTTAAAGTTACTCAAGCAAAACACACTTGAAAAAGGATCTGTGTGTCTAAAAGTCTGTATTTAAAAGCCTGTTATCAATTGAGCTAAAAATACTACATCTCTGTCAACCTGACCTTATTAAAAGTCTTGAGATAAAACTGAAACTGCACACAGAACATGTGGTAGCCTAACCACTGCAATTTTTGAAGTGATTACTACTTCCAAGTCTCAAGGCACAATAAATGACAGGAAAAAGAAATAAAATCTTACAAAGCCTGAATGAAGTCATGAAGTGTATAAACAAATAAATAATCCCATTGAATAGCCTTTTGTCAGGTAAACTCTCTAAATATCACAGTATTAGACAAGTGTTTGTCAAGACACAAAATGTGCTCAAAAAAGCCACATTTTATTTGAGTATACAGTTTTACCAGCAGTTTGCTCCATGCCATATTCTACATGCAAAGCCGTAATTGTTACAGCAATGCATAATGAAAAAGATGATCTGTGGTTTTTGCTTAAACTTATCTGTCATCCTTTGTGGAGCCTGCAGAATGCATTTTAAAAATCTTGCTTTAAGGAAGGATTTAACTACCTGAAATTATTTGAAAGTGGGAGTTCAAAGCCAGCTCATCCAAGTAACAAAAAATCTGGAACTCCATTCACTCAAGGAAGTCAAAAGAAAGAGACCCATTTCATAGAATTCACCTATAGCTACAACACATTTAGCAGTCCATGGTATTTCTAAGTTCCTTTAGAGGCAAATCAACCTTGAAAGGAGTTAAAATTAGTATTAGCTACCCAATATGGCCAAAAAGCACCCAGCCTTACCTGACTGTGGTTAATGGCAGCATGGTTGCCATGAAATGGAGACTGTCTCTCCTTGTCACGGTGGTGCCGACTGCTGTGTTTGCTTCTCTGCAGTTGTTGACGCAATTTTGCAATCTAACGAAGGAAAAATTAGATTTCAACGAGTGTATAGTGTCATGAATCCGTTCCATCACTTACTTAAAATTCTTTACTACCACAGTGTTCGTAATTACTGCCAGCACTAAATCAGAGTCAAGATCTTGCACACCTAATATGTTAGTAACCAACTCAACTGAAGCCCAGAAGGCACCTCTGGAGATTTAATGAAAGAACTTGAAATACATGAAGTTTGAAAGTAGTTTGGTCACTGCCGTATTTTCTCCTTTGATGAAGAATGTCACCTGCATTGAACACTTTCTTTCCCAACATTCAGATTAAAATTTTTAATAGACCTGCATTACTGTATTAAATACTGCCTTCCTGAAAAATCATAGTATCAGTGCGTACCACTAAAAAATTTAATCCAAAGGTATCTCAAGTAATGGCATTTCTGACCTCCTTGAGTTGTTCATTGCTGCCCCATGATGATGAACGTTTGTGTGAGCTTCTCTTCTTTTCTAAATATTCTTCAGCCCAGGCACTTTCTGTCTGTAGCAAGAAGATTACAGGATTAATTAAAAAAGAAAATTGCTGCTTCCTGGCAGAATATTTTGAGACAAATTAGAAAAGAGAACATTTAGGATTTGCTAGATTCAGAACTGAAAGTGAACAGCAGTCACCAACCAGAAACTTTTCTCACAGGTGAATTATGAAAAAGTGGAGTGAAACTATAGAAATAAAGACCCCAACAACTTTCAGACTTATTCTAATACAGGAATGTGCTAGTTTTCCTTCCAAATTATTGAGCATAAGGCAGTATTCACAGCCAGATGTACCACAAGCTGCTATTCAGTTCTGAAGAACCCGTATGACAGTTCTGAACTGGGGAGAGATGGTATATTTTATTTTTGACACACTAGCAAGGGTAGCTTGGTGTAAATGTTGTGAAAGCCTGCACCAGCACAGCTTCAAAATCACGTTCTTGCTCACAAGAATGAGAAAAAGGAAGACAAGGCATATGAGCACCACTAGGACTTCTGCAAAGCAGGAAATCAGTTTATTAATGTCTCAAGGGGCTCCAGGTTCATAGTTGTCTCAGGCCATGCAGAAAGCAACACAGATAATACTAAACTGGTATAGCTATCAGTGTTTAATAAAAAAAACTTGCAAACATACTGTGGTGAAAGACTTCTAAGAAATTCAAAGTATCATTAAGACAAACTGTATTTAAGGTAAGAAATGCACAGGCATAATATGTGATAATACTGCATGCTTTATGGACAGTTTGTATTTCCACCTAACCACACCCAGAAACGTCTTCAAAAGCAGTGAACTGTGAAGGCCCTAAGAAGATGGATAGTAAAATCTCTCAGGAACCTCTGTGCAGTCACAAGAAATATACCTAATGAAGCAAGGGGAAGGATATCTGGAAGAAGCTTACACACTCAAAGAGACAGCAAATTCCTTGAAATGCATTGTTGCCACAACTGTTGCAGTTCTTAGCATACAGTGGTGATCTAGCTAACCTCATTTTTAGGAGTCACTGATATCTCACTGTCTCATATGGAGAGGAACTTTGATTGCCTTAAAGTCTTCACAGTGTGCAGTAGTTGTTCTTACATGTGAGACTAACAGCCTGCAGAAGCCAAAGTTGACCTTACCTACCCCATCTGCACTCAGATCACAGAAACTCACAAGTCCTCTATGGCATCAATCCCTATTTTGCAGGGCATATGGAGCTGTAACTCCAAATATATAGGTTGCAATCCCACCAGCTTCAGTTACAGATATAAGTTTCATATAAATGAAGCCTCCACTATCAGTAATTTTTAATCTTCATCATTCCAAATCAAAAAATAACTAGGACAAACCTGAATAATAAAGTTAGTAGGGTTGCTTTGAAATTCCTATTTCATAGCAAAATCAGAATCCATTACAATCTGTTTTTCCAGAAAAGCCCTCACTGATCTTCATCATAAAATAGAATAATTGATAACCCCCACTCCCAGCCAAAGTACCAACCTTTGTCTAGTCAATTCTCAAATCAATCAGGAGTCTCACCCTATCCTCTAGCTCCTGGAACAGTAAGCTTTAGCCACTAATTCTAGCTTTCCAACTTAGCACAACCCTTACACTTTCCTATGGGAGTCTAATTAACACTCTAATCAGTCTTTGCCTTTAATTTATATTCCAGACTTTGACTCAAGATTCAAGACTTATTTAATAAATTAATATCTGATTCATTTTACAGCATTAGAAGTTGCTTTGATGCTCATCCTCAAAACAAATAGTTGGAAATCTTTTCAGAGTGGGTGTAGGTATAAGACACTAAATTACAGGAAACCTGTACATCAAGACAGAAATGTGGTACTATTTTAGTCTTCTCCTACCTATTCTCTATATTTTGTTTATAATACTATTATCAAGAAACACAAATGAGATAACCAGTAGGCAAAGTGGGATTTATATTTCTCTAGGTTCTTAATGTACTACTACTTGCTTATTAGTTGGTACCATTCACAACATCCTTCCCCCATTCTAGAATTACAAAGAGAAATTAGTTTAAGTCTAAATTTATTACAGATAGTAGAACACTTAAGAAAAAAAGTCTTAAGAGGCAAAAACTTTGCAGTCAAAATGAATTATTATTTAATAATTTAAAAAACCCACTAGGTAACTGTCTCATTTTAACTTGTAAGCCAAACAGGTTTAATTCAAACGAAAAAAGACACAAGATTACCAACATCTGTTTTAGGGGCACTTATAAGAATATGGACCGGTACAAATTCTAGCCATGCGTCACCCAACAAACATTCTTCATGTACATAATTCAGTCTAGTTTTATAGACAGGTTTCATAAAATGAAGGAGGAGTCTGATACCCGGTCTCTGCGTGACCTGGGATCTCTTACACAGTTCTCAGCCATGACCTAAGGGCAGCTCCAGAAAGGCCTGCAAGCTGAAGTGTGCCACTAATTGCCATCTCTTCCCGTTCTGCTTCCTGAACGACTCCACTCCCTATGCCATAACTCCACAGGATCAAGATGCCCTATTTACTTGACTTGAAAATCTTTTATATCTTCATAGATCCAATTCATGTTCTCTAAACTCTTGAAATCCGAACACATGTATTTCATGTCAGATTTTGTGAAATCTGAAATTACACACTGGAACCAGAAGATCTTACAAGTGAAACTTCACCCAAACATGACATCTTCAGAAAAGCTGAACAGTCTAAATGGAGAGCCTATATTATCTCCAGAAACTAACTATTGTTAATCACATTTTAAACTTGTCTTTAGCTCGAGTGGTTGCTCTCAGGCAAGAAGATTAAAAACAATAGCATCTCATCACTGTCATATCAACAAAAGCTTTGGGCTTACAGATATATGTCTATATCCGTAAATTTTCTACCGGTTTGAGAAATTTTAAATTAGTAAGTAGAAACAGATCATTCTACTTGTCTCAGAAATACACTACCATAAATCACCACTAAATGCACTCATTCTGCAGAAACACCTAGTGCCCTTTTAGTCATCCCATTAACCTTTTCAAATATATTTCCCCTTATATATCAAAGTCCCACTGCCACAGCAGTAAGATGGGTCAAAATGGGAAGAAAATGACAAAAGAAAAATGCAAACCAAAAATGACGATATATGGCAAATACAGAGATTATAAAAGCCCAGCCATGACACAGATTATATTGAAACTAAAATGAAGGAGATCTACTGAACACAGCAAATACTTTGGCAGCAGTATAGAAATGTAATTATTTTGAAAAAAGTATTATCCTAAGAAATCAAATATGAAAATATATTTCTAAGACACCCACACAGGTTTAGTTCTGCCCTTTAATGATGCCTTTTAATAGCTAAGCATGAACAGCCATTCCCTGTATATCACACACCTTCCTTCATCCTCCTCCTCTTACTTCAGTTTGCTTACCTCTTTCACCCCGTCTTCTAACCATTTTTCCAATTCATTTTCCTGCACAGAAAACTTGTTCCTAGGCTGTCCTTTCTTCATCAGTTCCTATGTCCACCTTATCCACACAGGCATATTCCCCTACAAAGCACTTTTGTTCTCTACCAGGCTGCTCTTTGAAAGGTGGTCCTTTTCACAAAACGCTCTGGATCTGGAGAAGGCCACACAGTAACACCACAGACTTCCTCTGCTCTACACCCTGCATGTGTCCTTAGACAGAACACTGAAACCTATGAGGCCACATTTTTGTTACTGTTACCAGAACTAGCAGGGCTTCAAACACAAGTATGTCCCACATGCTGTCAGGTCCTCTTCCAACTGCATTTTGCTTATGTTCTTTGGAATTAGTGGAGACCTGTTGTTGAAACCACACTCTAGCAACAGGGATTTAGAATCTGATGTTTGCCTCTTTCTTTCACTCTACAAGTTAGAGAAACCTACTGCCAGACTGCATCCACAGAAGGAGAAGTTAAATAAGTCACATACACAGTAGCAAAGGATTCCTGCAATTTGAAAGCGAATAAGAACTTGTGAGCAAGAAAAGTAAAGTGAATGTTTTCAAGGGAAAACATTTTTCTTACATTTAAATCCCATCTTCACATTTAAATTCTCCAAAGACAAAAATCTGTCCTACCTGTGTGGCTTTGTCTCTCATACATGGAGCAGCTTGTCCATGATTATCACGAGGCCACTGTCCAGCAAGGTATGGAGCAGCAAGTGTGTCCAGTGAGGAAGTCCGGCGAACAATACTGGAAGGGCTTGATGAAGGTGGTCTTGATTTGTCTGCTAGAACAAGAACACTTGATTACAAAGAAAGCAAGACAGAGAGCATACTCATTTTAATAGTCTACAAGAAATCACATCAAATTGGAACCACGATGTTACTAAGTATACAATAAGATACTTTTAATATGGAAATATAGTTTGCTTTGCCAGGCTCTATTCAGTTTAAAAAGGCTATGAAATCTGTTCGTACGGTTTCCTTAAAAACATCCTAATGCCACAAATGTTGCCTTAGTACTCACACACAACCATTCACTCCCTTAAAGGTAAAACTGTCATTGGATTCTTAAATGATGAAGGCCTAGAAGACATAAAAATAGCTAAGTTTCCTCGTACATAAAGGTTAATGAAAAAAACTGTTGGACATTCTCAATTTAATGTCGAGTTTAGAGTTCATCCCCCTAGCCCTTTACCCTTCGCCTACTTTACTTCAAGGAACACTGTAAACTGGCATGTTTTATTAATCACTCAGTACATGATATATGGCATATGATACATGGTTCAACCCTTAGATCCAGAAGTCAACTTCGATAAGGTAATGACTTACTTTTTACAAGCTAATCGAGTCATCTTCTCCCTTTACATGCTATTTGGTAACTACATTCAGATTTGCCTGATCTTCAGCAACACCTCTTTCTTAGTGTTTACAGTGGTATCCCTTTTCAGAACAAATTAGATGCTAATAAGAATCCTTACTAAAAAAGGTTAAATATAACAAACACAGAAATTAGCATGAGAAGGAAGAATACAAATAAAAATTTGTATCTATCCCATCTGTCAATGATATCTTAAGTAAAGTGGCAGTAAAAGACTACACTGCAAGCTATTAAGAATAAACACTGAAGAAAGGTTCCTCAAAACAGTAATTGAGGTTGTTAAATTTAAGAGACTGAGCAGCGGGAAAGATCCAGGGTTTAGAGATACATAAATGCTCTCATATTTGGAAATGTAAAATGCAAATAATGAGATCACAATGATCTAAGCTTACTATCAACTCATCTGCTCCCCACAGAATTATACTTGAAAGAACTGTGCATTAATCTTACCTATAATGAATACAGAGGCCTAAAATACATGGTTAGAACACAGCAAGCATGATTCAGAGACCAGATGGAAGCTTTAAAAGGGCACTGGAAAAACTCAGTCATATGTCCTCCCTGACTGTGCCTTAGGATGAATTCTGCACTAAAAGTATCAATAACATAGCAATTTGTATCATGCAGAAACTCATTTATGGGCAAAAGAAATTGTTCCTGATTAGTGTCTGACTGCTAGTCAGAACATAAAATCACTGACATCAGAAGTCCAGAATTCAAATTATAAGCTGTTGCAAACTACTAAAAATACATATGATAAATATTATTAAAACCTGGTAGGTATAGATTCCGGTGCTGTGGACAGCATCTGTGTCTAGTGACATTCTACAATAAATATCTTCATGCAAATTTCACATTAGAAATGCACACACTAAAAATGTAGGAAATATGTCAATTCAACTACAAGGAAAAAATTATTAGCACTATAATCAGCCACATTCACACAAAGGAGTCAGGAAACCTCATCTGGTTTATTATTTCTACTAGTACCAACAATGATAAAACCTTACTACTGAGCTAACAGCAGATTTGCTCTCACGGTACAGCAGCAAATCTGCTTTGGAGTTTGCACTTAAGACCCCTGTATCAAAGAATTTCCCTGACTACCACTACCACCACACTCACACTGAAGGGTCTGTTTGTAGCAGAAGACTTCAAACCAATTCCTTTTGTCCGTACTATGGGACAGTGTGGCATGCTAATGCAACGTGTCATTCCTTAAAAATTACACTCACTTCCAAAGTTATATCAAATGTTATTTGTCTTAGAATTAGCTGCTGTACTCTCCCTGTTTTTCTTCTGAGTTATTCTTCCTCTTCAAGAAGCTTCTCTCTTTTTACTAAGAGGAAACAAAGGATGTGAAAAAAAATTATAAATCAGGAAGTGTATGTAGTCAGTCACATCATCTGCAAAGCTACTGCAGCAGACAGCTTCAATACTGGAGAAGCAGAATCTATTACCCTCTCCACCACAAAAAGAGAAAAAGCAGAAAGACTATTTTGCTGAACAAACAGAGAGAATGAAAACTGAGGAGCCTGTTTACTATTTAAGTCCAAGGGACTTGTTTCAAGGCACAAAGCCTGTAAGCACTCTCTTTTCCTCCGAAATGAAAATTCTTTCGAGGAACTCTGTTTTTCAGATTACTTATATTTAGATGGGGAAGGATGTTTGGATATGTTTTTACTTACTTTTTCACCTTCATAACCTGTTTTAATACAAATTGGCAAAGTCTACTACACATTTCTTCTTGCTGTTTCAAAACATTTCAATGGGAACATATACAATGTTTTCATTGCACTTTCCCCTGCAATACTTGAAGCAAGTGTTCAGCTGCTATTTTCCCTTGATGTGACCTACATAACAAGAGATCTGCCTCCATAGAGATAACAGTTACAACAGCTGTGGCTGATGAAAAACAATGGAGCTGTTTCATCAAATAGACGCTTCTTAAATATTAGATCTGTTTTAATTGGCCTGATTATCTCTTTAAACCAGTATTTGTGATAAATATCAACCCTCCTATCCATCAACCACTAGTATAAATCTATTTAGAAACAAAAGTATTTTTGCAATTTGGTCTCAAACAAAGCAAAGTAATAGAACAAAACATAAGCAGAACACACACAATACAGACCAATGAAGTCCATAATGCAGGCAGATAACAAGCAAGTTATCATGTCTTCACCAGTCATTATGTACCCCTGACCAACTGCAGCTGCTGCAGGTGAACTGGTATTACACCTATCCCAGTGTGAAGTCAGGCAACTCAGAAGGCAATGTCAGCTAAGGCAGTCTAACAGCGTGACTAAAGAGCAAAATTAACCAATACAGATGCCCACCAACAACTAACTGAAAGGTAGGAAAGAGTGCACTGATTTTGGCAAGGTGTCAGCATACAAGTCCAGTTACAATTGATAAAGGAAATTACAGTGTAAGAACACAGACCTTTAAACCAGTTATTTCAGAGAGGAAAATTACTATACATAAAAGAAAGGAAGGGAAAAAAGAGAAAGGCCTTAAACATAAGCAAGTCTGAAGAGATAAAACGCTCTGAAAATTCACCTTTCAGTTTTCCAGGAAAAGTTCAGAACTGTTGTTAGAATGACAAAATAATGATTACTGCTGAAGTGTAACTTCAAGACTGATCTTACCATCCTGTTGACCTCTTTCTACGCATTTGAAATTAAATTTTTGAGAAAGGAAAATAAAAACTCCAAAGAAACATCGTCTAACAGATATTGTGAGAAAACAAGCAGCAGAAAAGCATAACACTGGAAAAGCATAAGACAGCACTGAACTCATAAAATTCCCTGACAGAGTTCCACTTGAAGTTTTTTTTTTACAAGTGGGCTATCCAAAGAAATGAGGAGGAGTGAGACTCATCTAGCTTCTCTGGCATCACGGCATACAGCTGACCTTTTTGTTCTCTTTTGGTCAGGGTTCTCCCTGGAAAGGACGTTCATGGGATCTCTCTCAGGCACAGCTGGCAGAGCTGTCTCTTCCAAAAAGACAACTGATCTCTGGGGCTTCACCTACTTTTCACATTTCATTAAAACAACTTAACAGACTCAGAGCATTAAAACCAGATACACAGCCCAACTGTGTATACTCCTTTTGGAAGACAATTCTGGCTATTATCCTCACATAAATGTAAGAGAACTATTTACTAGTAATTCAAAATTGTCCCACTGTAGAAGAATGGCTGAATTAATGGTGTTTTACAAAATCAAACCTCAGAAAGCCCAAGATGTTCAAGTTACTTAATTCTAGTGAATGAAAACACATTTAATCTCAATAAAGTTACCTGAAGTGTTGGCCACAAGAAACCTACAAGTATGATGCTGCAAAAATGAATTCACTTTCTTTACACCTACCATTTGTAAAACAGCTTAAGTAAGCAAAGCAGGCATGTAATGGTACACAAAGCCTTCTATACTCTTATCCTACTTTCAGAACTGCTGCAAAACCTTGGTAATTAAGGTTGACAGGTATGCAGCTACTAATGTGTCACTCAAATTATTAAAATAAATCAATTCTATGGTGAAATTTAAGAGTGTAATGGAGTTCCTTTTCTTCCTCTCTACCAAGGAGTTCACATCTGACCTGTTCCAGACTTTATATACTACTATAACTATTTTCATAATTTCCTTTCACACAAGAATGCTTTAACACCATGCTTCGACAGACTACTCTAAACAATTAGAGGTCAATTTAATTCCAGATAAAACTAACCAATTTTTCTCCTTAATTTTAGAATGAGTTTAAATGTCCAATACAGTCCACTGGAATATACCAGAAAGTTCAGCATCCAGTAGAGAAATCTCTCACTACTTCAAGGCATTTAAAAAGTAAACAATTGCTATGGCTCCAGTCTTGACCTTCTTGTTTACACAGCCTGGTACATTAAACCATTTTCTGAGTTGAGCAGTTGAACTCCTCTGAGATGATGTGCTTTATATAAGAACACAAATAATAAGATGCCATTAGATCTTCATTCAGTAAATAAACCAAGACAAAACCAACAATAAATAGGGAGCATACACATTTCGCTATCTCACTTTGCGACAGTGTACTAGTAGGTCACAACAACAACCTCTAACAGCATAGTTTGCAGACAGGTAAAGAGGCATATGTGAAAACTGAACCAAAACTGGAAATTGCAGGACAGACATCACAGTGTAGAAATGAGGCCACACCAGTGATGGGAAGGACAGAGCACATTAACGTGCAATTAAAAGCTGAAGTCCTTGAACTAAGTACTAGAGACTGCAGAAAGTGAAAGTAAAAGACAAAAATGGGGTAGTAGCAAGATCTAGGCTCCTGGTCATATTTGTGAGGAAGGAAAGTAGCAAGAAAAGCATGGAAAATTAGAAATTGTACAACAGAATCTTCTATTTGTAATTATCCCATAATCAACAGAAAATTCAGTTAAGCATTTCCGAAATTAAGTTGCAATTCAGGTCAGAAAACTAGGACAAAAAACCCCAAACCAACAAAACCCACACCCAAAACCACAAAAGAAGTAAAAGAAGTAACATTTGCAAATTCACAAGTTGGGGTCCTCAAGTGTTCATGAAAACTACATTCAAAACTATTCAACTGCTTCCCAGAAAAGAAAATCTGTAAAACATGAAGTTAAGTCTAAAGTACACAACTTGTATTTAGATCCAACCAGTATCTAAGTTCAGAAGAAGCTATCATTTGTCTAACCTCAAGGTTCATTTTAATCTAAAAAAACATGGCTGCAGCTGTAGGAATCGACAAAAGCCACCATCAACAGAAAGCAAGAAACAGAAAAACCCAGGTTATTCTGCAGCAGATTCTGACTGATTCCCTCAAGTGGCCCGTGTGGCTGCACAACCATTGCCTCCTTAGCAAAAAAAGTTCCACTTCCATGTTCTCAGCTACAGCTAAGTTTTCCAATTCATGCGAAGAAGAAATTTAAGTTAACTCGGTCTCTATCAAGCACTGGACTACACAAGACAAATGTTGAGCAATATTAAACAGTTTTAATTTGCATTTGGGGCCCATACAAGTACTGCTCAGAAATTTAAACACGTGGAAGCAATTAAATGGACACCACTCTCCTGTTTTCACAAGTCTTGTAACAAGCTAGTGGAGTTATCTTAACATGGTAGAGTGATCAAATTACTTGTTTCCTTCTATGTGCTAATTAATTTGCAGTAAAGAAGCCAACATGGTTTCAGCAGGCTTCTACAAAATGGCCAAGAGTGAAACTTTTCCACTATAAGTGGTCTGATGCATGCCTTTATTAAGAGTATTTGAACCTGGATCTCAAGGTTAGCCATCCTGTTCCTCGTTCCCCAGGCCAGGAGATTGCACCTAAGGCAAGAGTTCTATAAAGTTCACAGGATGAAGATAGGATTTTGTGATGTGGATAAAGTCTTTCAGATTACTGATTAACAAGAATCTCAAATGAAGAATACGCACGTTTCTCGATCCAAAGCCTCAGAATATAACCTTAATAAAACCCTCATTACTCTTATCTGGAAAACGGAAAATCTAATTCAGGACCTTATTAGGGCTCCCTTACACTACAGACAAGCAGGCTCATAGTCATCTTGTACCAGCTGGCTAGGGCTTCTAATTGGGCAGCATCATTGCCCAAGAGCCAGGATAGGAGAAAAGAAAAAACCCAACGCAGTAGTCTGGTTACAGTTAGTATTTTAGAAAGCGGGAGGAATATTAGGAGAAGTAGGATTGTTAAAGGGAGGGTTGGTCCTAAATTTCTGCCTATACTGCATATTACTAAACTTGTGTAGATTAGCACAGGCAATTTAATGATGAAAGAGTAGCTGTGAGCTTTAGTATCTCAAAAGTAACAGGTTTTTTCGAGATTTGAAGGCATGAACACAAAGCCTCACTCATGCATTTCTGAGTAAACTTTTATCCCAAGAAGAAAACGGGCTTACATATGTCAGCCTCTGTTATCCTCAACTAGCTGCCACATATTGCTTGAATTCCAGCATTTCCAGTAAGAATTATTTAATTATTCAAAACCATTAAAAAGCAGTTTGCTACAAAACGTATGCCATCCCCACGGTATTTTCTATCTTCGCTATAGTACAAGCTTGTCATCACTCTCAAGCTCACACATCCTTCTGCAGGGTTCATGCTGAAAGTAACTACTAAGAGAGATACTGAATACTTTTTTCCTACGTCTCTGCCATGCCTACAGCACCAGTTAGTTCTCTAATCGCAAGCTTGCGAACACTGTTTGGATCAAAACCATCCACACCATCTGGCACCAGGTGCACAGAGAGGGGAGATGCGAAGGCTTCACAACAGCTACCAAAAACCAAATGCACCTTAAGCTTGTGCCCAAGTATCTGAAGCACATCCACACCATCGAACCCCTCTCATCTGCAAACCTGCGGCAGCACTCGCGCTACTTAAGAGGAGCGGCCACAACCCCCACATGGCACGCTTGGCTCTCTGTCCCTCTTCTGAGAGCCAGGACGGAACAGAGCGGCAACAAAAGCAACCAGCCCTTCCACGCACACACGGCCCCAAGCGCTGCCGCCGGCCAGGGAAGGGGCAGGACGGGCACCAGCCCGGGCACAGCCCCGTCCCTGCCTCTGCCCCGGGGCACGGCGCGCCCGGAGCCACCGCCGACCTCAGCCTCGCTCCCCGCACCCGGCCCGGCCGCCCGGGACGTGCCTCGCCGCCGCCCCGCAGACCCCGGCGCTCACCTTTGCAAACGGGGGAGCTGGGGCTCTTCCTCTCGGGGGAGCTCCTGCCCGGCTCCGGCGACTGCCGCCGGTGGTGCCGGACCCTGCCCTCCGGCAGCGGGGGCACGGGCGATGAGCACGGCGAGGGCCCGCAGCCCGGCGGCGGGGGCGGCGGCGGCAGGTGGTGGTGCCGCGGGGGGCTGCCCCGCGCCCCGCCATGGCCACGCGTGGGGCTGCCCCGTGAGGAGGCGGCGGCGGCGGCGCTGCCCCCCGCTCCCCCCGGCGGGGCCGTGGCGGGGCCGCCGCGCCCGCCGCTGCCGGGGGGCGCCGCGCGTGGGAGCCCCGCGCCCGGGCCGCCGCCGCTCCTCGTGGGGCTGCCATGTTGTTGCTGCTGCTGCTGCTGCTGCTTGAGCTGGAAGGGCACCGTGGCCCGCATGGGCTGGAGGCGGCTGCTCGCTCCCGCTCCGCCGCCGCCCGCCGCCGCCGCCGCGCCGCCTGCCCCCGCCAGGGTGGTGGCGGGGGTCGGGGAGCCGCCGCACCTCACGCGCTGGTGGGACATTGTCCGCCGGGAGCCGGGGCTCGCGGAAGGCGGCCTGAGGTGGGGAAGGGGGGGAACGGAAGGGTGCGAGGCGCGGGCCGCTCCTCGCGGGGGTCCAACGCCTCAGGCGGCGGCGGCAGCAGCGACGGCCACAGCCCCGTCCCAATCCCGCTGCGGGTCCCGTCCCCTCCGCGCCGCTGCGCCCGCAGCCTCCGTGCGCCTCATCAACAATAGTGCCCCGGCCGCGCGCCCCGCCCACCGCGCCCTCCCATTGGGCGCGGCGCCGCTCGGCTCGCGCAGCTACGGCGCGCCCATTGGCTGCGGGGCGCGCGCCTGAGTGGCCGGGCCCGCGCGGGGGGGCGGTGCGGTGGGGCCGCGCGCACTGAGCCGCACGCGGGCGGCGGCGGGGCCGCGCGCTGCCCCCGGCACGTGCCGCGGGGGGACCCCGGGAACAGCCCGGGAACAGCCCGGGAACAGCCCTGGACCCCTCGGGAACAGCCTGGGCAGGGCCCGCCCCGACCCCACCGCCCCCGTGCCAATCTAGATCCCCATCCCGCCCCCGGGTGCAAGGACGTGCCCGAGGGTCCCCGCGACCGCCGCTCGGCTCCCCGCGTCCCGCCGGGGTGCCCGCGGACACGTGGAATGCTGGACGCCGGCAGGGGTGGTGGCTGCGGCTCACCCGTGCCTCGGTCCCGTTCCAAGGGACCATTATTCCTATTCTGCTCCATTATCCCTAGCCCTAGGTGCACTCCAGGAGAGGACGGGGCTCCGCAGCGGTTTATCCAATCGCTTTGCCACCCGCTCGCCGTTACCAATGGTGGCACCAGGGAGTGGGCAATATCCAGGCAGACTTGACCCCCTTTCCCCATAATTGCTGTGTTTACTCTTTTCCCATTAGGTTAGATTAGTTGCATCTTCACTGCAATCTTTTAAAAATACTTGTGAACTGCTGGCATCCTCTTAACCCGATTTATACAGCAGGACAGTGAATACATGCATGGAACAAGCCCTAGGTCATGTGTTTGGGGTATTTAAATGCAAGGTAAACACACGTTGGCACCCTTGAGAAAGAATCAATAAATCTTTTTTCTGTCTTTATTGCATCTTTTATGTCTCTGAGCTACCAGAACTTACCCAAATTCTTTTCAATATTGCTCTACAAGTTGCATGTTGCAATTGAATACCATTGCTATGATACAAATGGTGTGACAACAAATTACATATTGTTCTCTGTTCTTCAGCTTGGTTGAGCTTGGGTTTGGCTTTTTTTTTCCCTTTCCTTTCTCCTTCGCTGTTTCTGACTGAAGCCTACTTCACCTAAAAAGCCCCACTTCCCCTTTGAGGAGCTCCATCCGTGTGCTGACAAGTTCAACAAACCTGAAAAGCAAGCCTATGATGTGCACAGGCCTTTCTCAAGGATGCCTGGACATTGGCCTACCTAAAGCCTCGAAGGTTAAAGCTCTTGTCAGAGTTGAGAGCTTTTTATGAGAGATCAGACCGGTGAAAGAGAACAGGACAGATGTGTTTCTAATGATGAGGTTGTTGAGAAGTAAGCTCTTACATTCTGAATTAATAAATTTATTTTTAAATGCATTATTTACAGGTACTGTAAATACTAGTAATATGGCCTGAAGGAGAGCTGGATGGGTCAATCAGAACTGGCTACAAGAGGCTGTGCAGCAGCCAGTAGATTTGTGCAGCAGACTTTCATCCCTTGGACAATTTATCCTCCCCAGAAATATTGGGAAGCAGTATTTCCAAGTACTTGGAAGCAGTGTGCCATAAAGATACTTCCAAGGCATAAAATATTCTGGATGCATTCTTATTCCTGTTACTGTTTTGAAGAGGCCAAAAATGACAGGTATTGATTCGTATTTATTTTCATGATGCATGTTACGGAGTCAAGTCACGACTTTGAACGCAGAAGATACCTGTGACAATTATAGTGCTTCCCACATTATTGTCACACTGCAAAGATGACACTGCTCCACGCAGCTGCTGTGAGAATATAAAGCACAGCATTTATGTGTAGTGCTCATCAGCAGTTCTATCGCTCTACATGCAGCAGATGTGAGAGTTCAACATGTAAAGTCATGTACTCAGACCTAGTCAAACACCGTGTACTTAGTACGTTCATTTGTTTAAACTGTAACAAATGTGTTACAACAGGATTTTACTCCTACACCTTATGGAAATAATGGAAAGAGCTAAAGCAGGATTATGAACTTGAAAATAGTTTTGAAACTTCTTTTCAATTACAAAAAAATTCCTCAAAACAAAACCCCAGCCTCAAATAACTTGGATCCAGATTCCCCAGACTCTCCTTGTAGTTCACACCTCTCAAGCTCTGGGGTTTTTTCAGCCATCACCTTCCTTTCTGCCTGCAGACTTTGCCAAATGCTGTCCAGGCCAACTCTGAGCAACGCATTTCATACCATTTCATGTGGAACCTTTTGGGCTGGGTTTCTTCAAATCCATGACACACTTACTCCGGCTTGGAGGCTCTCAGCACCCATCTAGAGTCCAACCAAAATGTGCTGCTTTCTAGTCAGTGTTGGGGGACTAAATCTAGGTATGGCAAACATCCCCCCTTACGTGCAAGGTGTTGGCTCTTTCTTAAAATATGGTGTGTGGTAAGTGCTGTAGATACAAACAAATCAATCCAAAGGCCGGAAGTATATCAAGTGCCCTCAAGGGCAGATTGATCCAACACACAGAGCTGAGGAAACAAATCTGCAACCTGCTGAAAGCCGGGATGTAAACAAGTCTGGGAACTGGTCAACTGAAAACTGGTCAACTGGTAACCTCAAATGAAAAGCAGAGTAACAAGAGTCAAAGGGGTTTAACCAAATTGATAGGACCAAATCCCACTATACAGTTAGTAAAAAACCCAACATTTAGGGAGTTTCCTTATACTAACGACTGAAAATGTCTAAGTAGTACTGCTCACTGATCATAATAGTATATATGAAAAATGCTCTGTTAAAATAATAGTAATAATAGTAAACCTTATAGAAAATTACTGTGCTTCAAGCAGCTTCAAATATGTTATTGTCTTATTCCAAAATCAAATAAAATGTAAAGCAGTACATGTAGAGGAGCAATCTACTGACTGAAATTGTTTTTTTTAACTATGGTTGTTACAAGCAATATTGAAGGTTGAAAGACTAAAGATTCTGGGAGCCTAATCTAAACACTAGATTATGCCCCAGGATATTTCACTGTATTTCTCATCTCTCCCCTGCAGAGTGAGTTTGTTTTGCTTGTTTCTGTGGGTGTTCAACATCAAGTGGAGAAAAAGACATTTAAAAAAATAGGACAAATATAATAGAATTTGCTTTACACAGAACCTGTAAGAGCCTAGTTAATATTCTGGAATATCTGAGGGGATTTGAGAAGGCAAACAGATTGAAATAAGGTATTAAGGTTAAAAAAAATAAAAAACACCAGATGGGACTTTGGGCATAAATCAAACTCCATGCAATAAGCAAAATGCACTCCTGACACATTTTATGAAGTACAATCTTTAAGAAAAGTTGTCATAGAAATAACATCCAGAGGCTCCAGTGCCTCACTGGCATTAAGGTAACACATTTTTGACAAAGAAATCCAGTTCCTCATTGCAACACTTACCTGCAGCTTCAGGGCCGTTCCCACTGCACATTCCTGGCACGTGTAATTACCTGGGAGAAGTACAAGGTTAATTTCTTTAGAAGCCAGTGTTAAGTTCACCTACAAGTGACATGTTTTTCCACACATACAGATCAGTTTTCCGAGCACGTGTTAAACGTCAGCAGCAACACTAAGCAAAAACCTTGTGGTGAATGTCCAGCTGCCGAAGGAGAGGGACAACTGGAATCCTGCTTGGTTCAGCGATGGGAACTCTTGCCAGCTGAGAGTGACTGGAACTCTTCCTGGATTGAGACGAGGGAAGAGAACGAGCAGCAGAAAAGGCCTGTTGTCCACCACATTTTGGAATCTTTTTTTCGGTAACGGTGAGAGAAGTGGCCTAGTTCATTTAAACAAGAGACAGTATAATCTCCCCTAGGTATCCTACAAGATGCTGAATGATAATTTGCACATGATTGCTCCTATTCCAACAATAAAACTTTGCTTCCTAAAAGGAACAGTCTCAGTTCATGGCTTGTGTAGGCAGATGGGAACTTCTGCTTGCCTGTGCCTTAAAAGCACATCTCACAATCACAGGGTGAAGTTCAAACACATGATTTAGTTGAATTCTGGCTTTCCAGAGGCAAACAATAAATAGAGTTAGCTGACTTAATGGTGATTTTAAGCTAGCTGTTTTTGAGGCCTGATTCAAAATTGTTAACAGTCCTGTAAGAAAATTCTTGGCACGGCAACAGAAATACAGGTTCCCAATAAATTCTTTCCACCTCAGCAGAGATCCATCAAGGCCTCCCTCCTGCAGGAAATTCTCTGGTCACCCATACACCTTAGCTGCACCAGTACAAGTGATATGTGCAGCAGCAATGCCTATCTCATGGGCTAGAGTGAGACCTACACCTTGCTACAATGATTTATGTCAGATCTCATTTTTTAACTAACCCAGAGACCTGGAGGTGCTAGAAGTTACTCCTTACAACAGGGCTCAATTATTACCTTTCCTATAAGAAGGAAGGGGGAGGGGGAGAAAGAGGAAGAAAGGGAGAGAGATTGAGAAAACAGGTATAATTTCAGTATTACAGCAGACTGGCAAAACACCAGTCACCGCAAAGCACACAGACCAACCGTCAGGAAGGGAACCAGGAACAGAGCACGAGCTCAACCTCGCTTCCCCTGCACCATAAAAGTACATTATGAAAACTGTATTTCTGGTCATTCTGATTAAGAAATCTGATATCCTGTGGCATGAACTTCTCCCAAACAAAGGTTGCAGTAAGCGAAAGAGGAAAGCACAAAAGGCTGTACCAGTCCTAGGAACTGCTTGCAGGCCTGTTACAAGCAGTGGCACTAGTAAAACGAGCTGTACAACCTCTGTACTCTCTTTATCACAATGCCCT